ATATGCGGTATTTTAGACTGATTTCGTGTACTATATTCCTTTTTAAGTTTGTAGTTTAATTTTCCAGAGGTAAAGTGAAATAGATTTAAAATTGTACTGTGGCTTTGTTTCAGTTAAGATGGACCAAGCATGTTTGGATTCTTTCCTTCTTTCCTTCTGTCTCTTGCCCGGCCTTCCTCACTCAGTTCTTTTGTTTTTTCATTCTTTCTTCACAGCTGAGGATTGAACCCTAGCGCTGTACTCCTGAGCTATACCTATAACTTCATATTTGACTTTTAACATCTTTTCACTTTCCTTAAGGGTACTAACAGCTTTAAAGCATTTGAGCAGGAGAAATGAGCAACAGTCTAGTTTTCAGACTGTCTGAACCCATTTTAAAAATAGACCATTCTCATGAGGGAAGACTTCAACCTTTATATCAGTTTATCTCTCCACTTGGGATTTAAAATGTTCTCAAGGTCAAAAACTGTGTGATATAATTCTCTAAATTCATGTTGGAGGGCACTTTATCCCGGGTACAGTGGAAATTGCTCTTTCTGTTGGACATGAGTTTCGTTTAAGTTCTGGTGTTTATAGTTTCATGTCTTGCTTTTTGTCTTATGTTGAATTTGTTTCATCTTGTAAAGATTAAGAAGATCATGTTCTAGTTTTTAATTGTGAGAGTTGAATTATTAATGATTTCTGAATAAAAAATGAACCTGCATTTTTTCTACCAAAGGCAGTACAGTATATTCTCAGAAACTTTGAGGCTCATGAAAGTCAAGTGTCATTTAAAGTTTTTCCCTAATTCATCATTGAGAGGTTTTTATTTCCTTAGTGATTTGTGACACAGCTGTTTCTCAAAAGGAGGAAATGCAGGGCCACACACAATCGACAGCAAGCTGGTCACATCCTTTATGTGTGGCTTACATCTGCTGGTGGCTTCCAGGCAGACCTTGAATTTTAGAAAATTAGTTTTTCAAATTTAACATACCCAATCATGATCTCTATAATTAGGGTACACTTCCCCCTCCACCTTGTATTATAATAACTCTTCTAGGCTGTTTTGTTCCATATCTGATACTTTCGTTAATTAAGATTAAATAAGATTATTACATCTTTGTCGAAAGATTTTGACTTTTTTTCATCTGTTTTAATTAGGGGAGTTCTAGGGTCAAATATTCCTAATTAGTAAGCACTGAATCCTTCCTTTAAGTAGTCACCATATGATGAGAAATCAGTTGGGCTTAGGAAAACTGGCTAAATATGGAGAAACTGGTCACTAGGCAGAGGCATTTCATCTGTAAAGAACATGCAATGTATAATTCTTGCCTTTTCCCCCAAGTCCCTATAGGTAGATGTAATTATATTCTTGGATTTTATTTTCAAGTTGGACTTCTTTTTAGTGGGTGTCTAAGGTCGAAAGGTGGGCAGTGAAGAAAGTACATACAGCCTATCAAACTATATCACAACATCCTAGATGAAAAATTATTTGCTCTGATAATAAATGTAAGTGGCATCAGACAGTAGATTTATCATTCAGTTCTTTTAATGTCTTCATGTAGATTTCAACCTCTGAATCAGTCTGTAATAATTTATAAAATTTATATAAATTTATACAGTGTGTATCTGTGAGTATAAATATAAAAGAAATATGTCAGATTGTGTATCCTGCTGCACTGTGAAAATATAGTGTGAAACGGACACATCCAGATACTTCTGACGACATTAGTGGTTTTTTTTTTTTTTCTAGACTAAAGGCAGGATATATGTTTACAGTGTCAAAGCTTATACAAAAAAGTTAAATAAAAATGTGATACATGGTAGGAAGAAGAAAATGCAACTGTATGCCCACATTGTAATTTACCAGTGGTTAGCTATGATTATCGGAGCTTCTAGACTCTAATAAATGTCACTATTTTCTTTGTAAACTTGTGTCTATATAGCCACTAGATCAAATATCCAAGATGCATATCATTGTTTTTGTGCCTTAAACCTTAGATCTAACAAGTAAAATTGAAAAACATATGGATATAATTAAAGAACAAAGAAGCAAGGGGATGGAGAGTAACCAATTCAGAAAACAAGGAACAGTTGGTTTACTCTAATTAGAAACATCTTCATGTTTCTTTTTGTTTTGTATGCACCAGTTCAAAGTTTGATGGAAAATTAGCTGTTTATCCAAGTTATAGGAATAAATTCTTTGCAGATCTTCTGAGGTGACTTTATGTTTTCCTTAAATTCTGTAATCTTAAAAGTTAGTTGCAGTGTATATTGGCCTCAAGCCTTTCTTTGGTATAGTGAACTAGTTCACATTTTATTTCCTGTGTCTGGGTACCCTATTTCTGTTATCACCTGCATGAGAGGATCAGGTTAATGTCAGATGTTCAGTTGATCCACAGACCGTGTCCCTTGTCGATTGAGTTGTGCTGAGATGGGGCTGGAGCTGAGCACATGGTGGCACATGTGTGTGTGACTGATGAGTCGCAGCATGCGCATCATGCAGGCGTTCAGAGGAAGCTTAATGTCTGACGTGACCCCCTTTTAAATTATCACTTCATAGCTAGTTCCAGGTTATGGAATTAGCTGATATTTTCATTTTTATGATGATGTATTTATTGAAATTATAGAACTTATACATCATTGCTTTCTCTTCTTACTTACTTTCCCTACTTTTTAATAATGAATATTCATATTATTTCCATATTCATCTTATAGAGGAAGTTATGTTTCTTTTGTAAAAATAAACATTTTTTTAGTATTCTGGTAACTTTTAAGAAACATGAAATACCTTTCCATAGTGGTTAGTGGAGTAACTATACTAATAGGATTAGTTTACCTAGAAAATTAGACTTTGGTGTTAAATAGCAACTATAAGTGGCAGTTTGGTTAAACTGAACTTGTACACACATTAGGGTCGTTTCATTTCTTGAGATTTGCTCAAGATCTGGTCAGGGTCCTTAAGTCCATTTGGGGCACAGTAAGACTTCTCCCATTTGATGGCTTACAGGGGTTCGTTTGGCTTCTCTGAGAGGCTGGGGATGCACATGAGTGTTGAAGCTTTGGAGATGTTCCACAGATAAACCGCAGGAGTTCAGAATACATAAGAGACCTGCTTAGCAGGTCTCTGATGTGCAAAGTAAATTTGACTGCTTGAAATGTTAGAGAATATAATTCAAACAGTATGGATAATTGTTTGCTTTACCTTTAAAATCATTTTGCATGCAACATTTATACAATCAGAATCTTTTACAACATTCTATTACTGATTATAATTCATGCTATTGGAAAATCATGCATAAAATGGAAAACAATTTTCCTTCTCCAAAACTCTGTGAGGCTTTTTACCTTCATGGATTTCTTTACTGTCACCTCCCTTTACTAGTGGGACAGCTGTAACTAAAGTTGTCACTGCTAAAGAGGGCAGTCAGAATTGGATCTCCAGGGGATGGGAACGCTCTCTCTCCTAAGGGCAGTTGGCCACCAAAACTGTCTTGCAAAGAGTAAGCATGGTGGCTTTAAGTCTTTGAAACCAACACAGCTTATATTTTATGTGAGAGAAATGGACCAGACTTCCTCAGATGGCCAGGAATTCTTTTTTCTTCTGGAAAAGAACATGTGGTCAGGGAGAAAAGGAACTTCTTGTGAAGAGTGACACTCACTGACTGCATCGACAGATGCCTGCTCCATAATGAGTACCAAACCTGTACTTTGATTTGTTGAGTGATTAAACACAGATACATTATTAAAAATGCAGTAGAGAACCACAACTTTCAATGCCAGTGACATGTTTAAATGTCATGTGATTTTATGTTAATTTTATCTTTGCTTTCCTGTATGTTTTCCTTGAATTCTAGAACATTTGTCTCTTAGCCTGTAAAACATATACGTGTGCACGCACACACACACACACATGCACGCGCACACACACACATGCACGCACACATGTGTGCCTGAGTTATGGTGACTCTGAGTAAACACAGATATTAAAAAAGCAGGGCCACATTAAGCCTGAAGTGTTCCTCAATATTTTGTGTTGTACTTCCTTCTTTATTATCTAAAATGAACAGTTTATGGATCAGCATAGTTAATTGCATTCTAATGGTAGAATTATAAAATGATTGCAGGTGATAGTATTATTTTGAAAGATGAAACATTTTAAATTATGTCAGAATCCCAAGAAATGTGCTACTTAATATAAAGGTGTTAGGTGCATTTTCCTTTTTCTAACCTTTCACATACTGCTGTCACATTTCTTCTAAGATAGAGATACCATCGTGCCTTTAGCCCTTATAATCTACTTCAAGTCCCCATTTCTTATACTGCTTAACCAGGGGAACATATTAAAACTGCCCGATGGCCTTAAAAATAAGCCATATATCTGGACTACATCATCAGAAAATCCTACTTTTAAGCAGCAGTACTGTGTATGACAAGTTTGCTCTTTCCTGGAGACATCTTTTGTGTCATCCCCAAACCAGCTTTGCTGATCCTGCCTCACTTCATTCATTCCTGTTATTTTTGTTCTACTAATCATGCCAGACACAGTAAGTACACAAATCCATAGTTTTATTCCTTACTGTACACTTTTTTATGTAGTTCATGAGATACCTCTTCTCAGTTCTAGGTCTTTCATCAGTCAAACTACTGCTCATCTTTCTCAATTGTTCTTTAATGACAAAATCCTTTACTTTCCCAGGTAGTCATTGTACCTTCTTGTTTTGCATTTATTTTTTTTAAGAGCTCCTCTTCCATTAAACTGAGCTCAGTGTAATTTATATTGTTTACGCTCATGGCATTAATGCATGGATAAATAATAAAATAAAAGCTTGTTAGGAATTTAAATTATACTTTCTCTGAGCATTGTTTTCACAAGTATGATTAATTTGAGAGTCATGATCAGCTACCAAGATCTACTTTGCTTTGTACCTAAGTCTATTTGTTTCAGTGTAGATTCTCATTAAAACTTATGTATGTGTGTATCTATTTTGATCTTTTTTTTTTTCCTTTTGTGTTTTCAGGCGGAAACTCACGAAACTGTCCCTTATCTTCAGTCACATGCTGGCAGAAATCAAAGCAATATTTCCCTCTGGTCAGTTCCAGGGAGATAACTTCCGTATCACAAAAGCAGATGCTGCTGAGTTCTGGAGAAAGTTTTTTGGTGACAAGTAAGTAAGCCTCCCCTCTTCAGTGTGGGTTCATCTTTGAAGGGTGGTATGGCCCTTCCTCCAGTTGCTCATGGTGTAGATTGTATTGAGTATTTCGAGAATGTACTTGCATATTGTTGGCGAGTGATTTAATTAATTGATAATTTTTCTGAAGCAGACATCAAAAATATGCCTCAATAATGGAATGATTTTGGTATTATAAAGTAAATGTCAAGGTACAGATTGTTATATATTTTATGAGGTTCGTGGAATCAATTTGCTTGGAGAAGCAGATACTGGTATGCTATATAGATTACTGTTCTAATTCTCTGCTTAAAAGTCCGTATTCCATAACTGATAAGATTAGATATATAGAATGTTGCCATATGCTTTTGACAATCTTGATGCTTCAACGCTGCTGAACACAATGTAACATCGATTTTCTTTGTTCTTGTTACAAAGTTCCATATTTATTTATAGTTGTCAACATTATATTTACCTAGGTAATTCATATTTTAATATATAGGAGTTTTTTGCTTTAAACCAAAATACTTTTTACTTTGAGTTTAGGTACTAAATAGAACATTCTATTCCATATTCTAGGAATTTTGTAGCTGTTTATAATTTTCCTGTATTCAGTCACAAGTAAGAAATAAATAAGACCCTCATGTCTTCATATGAATTAGAAAGCTAATTAAATATTTGTGCAACATGGCAGCATGACAGGCTTGGCAACTTTGAGAGGAAGAATGAGTGGATTTGCATTTGTGCCCCACCCTAAGCCTGCAGCAAATGTTTGGTAACTTCAAAAGAAACATTCCCCCAAAATTGGAGAACTTTGTAGAAGAAACTGTTCGTGGCATTTCTTTTTTGAAAACTAAAATTTCTGATGAGGTCTAAAATTGTTTACTTATAAGGTTAATAAAAAGTGGAAAGATTGTTCATGTCTTTTAAGCTTCCTTTGTTGGCCTCTTAGTCACAGAGAACTATGCTTTGGAGACACCTTTATTTCCCGTTATTTATAAGCACAAATACGAAGGGCTGAAATTTCTGTTCACCTGCTGCATGAGAGAAATTACTAGTATACCAACTGGGAGGTTCTTGAAAACTGGTTAACTAGTTTCTCTATATTCCAAACCTTTTTTACCTTTGTCTTCTGTTTTCACTGATTGGAGAGAGCTGTTAATTTGGCTGGAGCATTTTTATTTTCAGGATGAGAGCCAAATATCAAGCTGCTTGTGGTACTTACACATATGTCCATAGTCATTCAGATTAATGGTATTTTGATGAGATTGTTGGAGAAACTATTTTTATATTCTCCCAGGGGAGAATATAAAATATTCTCACTATAAGGTGACAATATTTTTATATTGTCACCCTATACTTCCACAATATTTAATTGAATTAATGAACAAATAAGTGATATTACCCTTCATTGGGTTGAATTCTTTTACCTTCATTATGCTGTGGTTCTATAAACTTGGCTTTTGCTTTGTATCATCCCTATCGTTTATCTCACTATGAATTTGTACTTCGTGTAAGCAGTTTCATCTATTCTAACCAGTGCCTTTACAGTTGAAAACAGCATCACTTTTTGAAACAGAAGCATTGAGGGGTTGGTTGTAAAAGCAGCCAAATAGCATCTAACTTAGGAATAATTATAATTATTTGCTTTCCATAAAGGAGAGTCAGCAGTTTAAAAAAAAAAAATTAAGATGAATTAAAATTTGGGAACACGAACTTCAGTATTTGGACATCATGAAAAACAAGCAGGACAAAAATAAGTGCTAGATACCTAATGCTTTGTTTTGTGCTTCGTAACCTTTCTGAAGTCATGGCAGCGCTCACCTCTTTGCCATGGGCCCACCCCTGCCAGCTGACAGGCTCTGTCTGCCTAGAGGTCCAAGGGAACCAGTAATGCAGAGTCCTGACAGCCCAATTGAGAAATCGCATCCCACATTAGATACATTTTATGAACATTTGCCTGGTATTATAACAATTCAATTCTATTATTTCTTTGTTTAAGAAAGTAAAAGTGGGCTAGGGATATAGTTCAGTAGTACAGTGCCGGCCTGGCAAGCGTGACGCCCTGAGTTTGATTCCTGATACTAAAAATAAATAAAATTGACAGTATTGAGTAATTTTGTAAGTATGTTATATAAAGTGCCTCAATATTAAATTAATTTTCATAATCTGGAGTAGTTTTATAATCCAGAAAATCAAGTATTTAGGCAAAGGGGGCTCATAAAATGTATAAGTAGCTGTTATATAAGAAAGAAAAAGAGAGGGACCAGGGAAATAGCTCAGTAGACTAAGCACTCGCCTGGCAAATGCAAGGGCCTGAGTTCAATCCCTGGTTCCAAAAAAAAAAAAAAAAAACGAAAGAAAGGAAGGGAAGGAACAAAGGGAAGGTAGGAAGACAAAAGGAAAGAAGATACGTGAAAAGAATATTAATATGTTTGGACTTTGGATGGCAAAGTCATTTATTTTGGAAACAAAGCAAGTAGCTGTTCGAAATTAATCATAAATTGCTAAACAAATCAAATTCAAGCATCAGTGGAATCTTCTTAGGTATCTCATTCTTTCTATGCTGACTCTACCTGAAATTCCCTTCCAATTCAAGGTCATACTCTTTCTTGGATTAATCTAGCAAACTTTTGAGTAATATCTCTATCTTCAATAACGTCATTACTTCTGAAATCAGTAAGGCTCCTAGAAAACACAGCTGATCATTTCAGTCTTTTACTAGAAGTGCTCCTATGAATACTGGTTCTAAAGTAAAATCCAAATTCCCATTAACATAAGTTTTAAGAACTGTTCTGATGTTTCCTGGCTTCATTTCTTTTTACCTAGCTCATTTGAAAAAAATAAAAATAAAAGAAATAGTCCTCTGCTGATGTTTCCTCCCACTGCCTGAGTAGCCACTCACCCATGCCCACTGTCATCTTTGCTTTGGAAGCTTTTTCTGGCTCCTGACTCTAAGTGAACGTACATACCTCTGTGGCTCACGTCCATCTGATGAGATTACAGTGCATTGCCAACATGTGTCATATTCCCATTTGAGAAGTTTGCAATAGATTTTAAAGTTTCTTTGAAGGCAGAGGCTTTCCCTCTCATATGTCTGTTTTTCAGAGCCTGGCACATTTCCTGGAATGTGTGGGTATTAATATTTGTTAATGGATTAGATGAATAGTGGTTGATGGATGATGACTCCTCTTCTGTGCTGTCAGTTTGCCCTGACTTGACTACAAACTGACCTATTTCCCATCAGTTCCTGTGGTTCTACTCCATGGGTGCCTATCTTTTCCCTTCCACCTTTTCTTTCCTCTCAGAATTTTGACGTTTCTTAAAATCTAGTTTAGATGTTCCCTTTTCTATTCAGTTCTTAGTCACATATGCCTTCTTACACAGTTAGCTTTATTCCATTCCTTGTATTCTTGTTGTATTTTGATACTGATATGTTACTGAGTTATGTATGGCTTGTTCCTAGCTATCCCTCCAGAGTCTTATGTGCTCATGGGACATAAGACATTCTTTTCAGAATTGGCTGGACTTTGGTCATTGGTTGCAACCCTATGGCATTCATGCTGCTCTGAAAGGGTCATCAGTACCGATCTAAGGCTTGTGATCCTGGGATTAATGGTGTATGGTATAAAATTGCTTCTCCTGAGAGGAATTAGCATAGTGCTTGTGCCCAATGGAGACCCTATGCTGGGTGTGGGTGGTAGCGGTCAGTAGGCCTGTGGCTTCAGTAGGGGGTAGAGGGAGAGAGGCCGCTGCCTGCCAGCAGGCCATGGGCTGTGTCTTCTCCGCCATCTCCTTCTGTCCTGAATCACCTCCTTGGGCCACCCACTGCGGACTGAGACCTCCACAGATTGTGACCTTTGTTCTCTTAACACGTGGTGTCAGGCATTTTGTCTGTGAGAAAAATAAATGGAACACAACATATTTGCTGAAGGATTTTATTTGTTTAATTTTGCAGCTCTTTGATGAAGTTTTTTTTTTTAATTCCAGAGTCTTATTAAAATGCTACTGACACGAGTATAGGATATGCAATACAGTGCAATTGCATTTACCTAACTATTTAATAATGAGTTATAATTTTAAAATACAAAAGTATAAAGCAAAACTAATACAAAAATTCCAAAATCCTGATAGTACTTGGCAGAAAAGATGGGATTTTCACAAATTCCTCAAGACAGCATACATGAATCTTTTTTTTTTTTTTTTTTTGCAGAATCAGGGGTTGAACTCAGGCCCTTGTGCTTGCCAGGCAAGTGCTTATTCTACTGAGCCATCTCCTTGGCCCACATGGATCTTTATCTAGAAACGAGTATGAGATTTTAGCACTCCTAGAACCTGGCCAAATTCGGTGAAATAATTGTTAACTTTCACCTAGAATTACTTTTTATTTATATTTTCCTTTTTACATTTTCTTATGTATTTGGTACAGGGTCCCACAATGCAGCTCAGACTCGTAGTGATCCTCCTCCTTTCAGCCTCCCTAGCACTGGGATCACAGGCGCCCTGACAAGGTGGCTCAGTGTGCCTGGGAGCGGGGCCGGCATGGCATGTGGTGCTGGAGATTGCATGCAGTTCCTGTTTTTGCCCAAGCAGGTGCTTAGCCTGCTGAGCTATCTCTCTGGCCTAATTGCTAAATTTTAAGAGCAGCCTCCTGCAAATGCTGTATTTGGTTTGCATATCCCACATAGGTCAGAATGACCATGTGTTTTATTTTGTTTTCTTATTTTTTTATTAATTTTATTGAGAGACAAATAATAATGACACATATTTGTTCAAGTTGTCATGTATCAGGGTTTATTGATAATGCTTCTCTCAGTTCCGGCTCCACTATAATCTTTAAAGTATTCTTTAAATGATTCTTGAATTAGTACTTTGTATACTTTATGTGTTGAGACATTTAGTAATTATCAGTTATATATATTGAGTACGTGATGTAATATCTCCACTACTTGTTCTCTCTTCTTTATGTTCTGTTTTTCATTCTGGTGGACTTATTT